GTGCTGCCTGGGGAGGTGGTGGATTCCTGGAGACCATCCCTCGAGGTTTTCAAGACAAAACTGGATGTGGCACTTAGTGCCATGGTCTGGTAACCATAGTAGGGTTGGACTTGATCTTTGAGGTCTTTTCCAACCTGGTTGATTCTATGATTCTATGAAACACTAGCTGTTATATTTTGCCCGTGGCATTGCAGTTAGTGTGCTAGACTAAGTCGTTATGCTTTCAAGAGGTTTTTCCAGAGTATGCTGAATATGGTTGTGAACGTTTATTTCGGTGGAGCATATTTCTATTTTCTGAGCTATTGGAAACCTTGCTATCCTAGGTTGTATAGAAAAATAATTCTTACAGCGATCATCTGCAAACGGAAAGTTGAAGCGGCTTTTCAAATAGTTGTGTTACTTCACAAGAACAAATTGTATTTTCGGTAAAAACTAAAGCAATAAAGTATAGGATAAATAATAGATTGTAGTGGATACTAAATACAGAGAGAAGTATGATAAAACACTGTTAATGTTTTTTCAGTATGGAACCACCCCACTGGTCTGGGCAGCGAGGAAAGGTCACTTGGAGTGTGTGAAGTACTTGCTGCAGATGGGAGCTGATGTTGATCAGGAAGGAGCTGTAAGTAACTGTTCACTTTCTGGTGGGTACATACATCTGTGTGTCCTGGTTTATTTTATAATTCAAATGCCAAGAAATACATGAAACAAGTTGAAATATTGGTGTTGGAGTGTATTACTTTCCAGCTCTTGCAGGCAACATGTGAGAATTATTGCAACTTCTTTGTGCCCTTTAATAAAAATATGTAACTAGGGAGTTGTATTGACAGTGGACACACTGGTGTGTTAAGTACAAATTTTAATGAACATAAATGAATTTAGGTTGTCTGAAGGTTATCAGTATCAAAGTTCATTCTGTATCCAAGCCTGATATGTCAAATATCTTATTCCTCAGTGCTATTTGAAAAGTAAATCAAACACAAAGCATTTTTTGAAAATAATAATGGTGACTGGGTCTTTTCAGAAATTTTGTCAGAAGTTTTTAGCTGCATATTGTTTTTAAATCAGAAAGGTAACATTTGAATTGCTTGTCAAAATAAAAAGAAATCAGTTAAAAGTGGAAAATTAGGAAAAGTTTCAGTAATGATATGATTATTTCTGAAGATCTTCAAAAAACCTCAGTATTGGCAGATCTGTGTGCTCTGATAATAGTATCTTCCCATATGACAAGAAAACATCGTGTGTGACATTCAGAAGTGAGAATAAACTGAGTTTTTTGCATTTGAGGTGTTCTCTGCTGTTGTACTTCCTTAATTTCTTTTATTTTAAAAAGCATAGGTACACTTTAACACACAAAACTCAAGTAGCATTTGGATGATTAAGAGCAATGTCAGTGAGCGTTCTGTTGTTATTTAAACTGCTGATTCAGTAGTGATTGCTGTGCCCTCTGTACAGTAAAACCTGTTGGTTTTATTCACAGAATTCTATGACTGCACTTATTGTGGCAGTGAAGGGAGGCTATACTGATTCAGTAAAGGAAATACTGAAAAGGAACCCAAATGTAAATTTAACAGATAAAGATGGAAATACAGCTTTGATGATTGCATCAAAGGAGGGACATACTGAAATTGTGCAGGATCTTCTTGATGCTGGAACTTACGTGAACATTCCTGATAGAGTGAGTATATTTTCATCATAATTTTTTGGGGTTTATATATGTAATAATAATAATATATGTTTAAATACCAGTGTATGCAGAGCTGTAAATACACGACTTTTCTGTCTTTCTAATCTTTCTGCCACCTAGGGGTATTGTTGTGTATTGCTGTGTTACAAGTGTGTTAAGTGGAAATGTTGCTATGTGAAGGTAAAAGATAAACAGAAGTTACTCTTTTTCTTTGAGATTCTTGAATTAAGAGTTTCCATAGGGTGTCTGTCATATCTGTAATGTAAGACTAATACTGAACTAACCTGTAGGTTTGGAGTGGCTTTTTTGGCATTAATACACATGGCAGTGCTGATAAAATTGTACACCACTAGATTCTATAAAGCAAAAAGAATGTATTTAATTCAGCATTGTGCCTTTATCTTTTACAATGAAACTGTTTACTAGAAAACTTTCATGGATTAGAGGAAGACTTCAGCTCTGGGTTAAGACAGTGAAGCTTAAGGAAAGGTTTGCTGTTTCCCTGAGCTGTTGTGTACCTGACCTGTAGTCATGTTGCTTACTAGAGAAGTGCAGTATGAGCAGTGCCCAGAGTGTAAATCTGCTTGCTGACAGCTCTTTATTTTATTTGGTTGCTTGTACAGGTGCTCTGGGACTGCCTGAACTGCCCTCTTGATGAAGTGCCAGAGGCAGGCCAAGCACTGCAGCCTTGGGGCTATTGGTGGTTAGATACCTAAACTTAGATGCCTTTGTCAAGGCTGATGTGATTTAGTTCAGAGCAGTAATACATTTTTGAGGCTGAATTCCCAATCCCTAATTTAGATTGCTTGGGATTGCAGAGAACAGGGGAAAACTTCCTAATGTTTGCATGATAATTTTAAACGGATTTTTTGGATGCATTTTCCTGTATTTCAGGCATCAGTGCATTTCTCAGATGGTTGTATGCTGATCTGAAGTGTGCATGTGACAACAAATTTGATGTTGGGCACATATCAAAGCAAAACTTTAAATATTTAAGAAAATACATTGCAGTATCCCTTCCCACCTTCTCTGCTACAACATTCTGCAATGGCCTGCATTCCTGTACTTTTTAGGAAGGATAAATTACAGCTTTTGGTACTGCTGACTGCATTCCAAAGATGCACCAAACAATGAGTACTCTGTTTTGATACTAGAGTGGGTTTTGATAAGGAAAATTTCTTGGTTTGCAGCCAGATACATAACGACTGATTGATGGGGGATTCACTACTGCTGAGCTCTCTGAGTTCCACACCTGTGATTTAACTATACTTTTATTTATTTTTCCTGTTTGATCGTAAAAGGAGTATTAGGTAATTTCAGGCTTTCATTTTCTGAAATTCTGTCATATCCTCAAGTGTGTTAAAATCAGAAGCCTTAAGCACAATATTTGTTTTATGTATAACCAACTCCATTTACCACACCAAAATATTATTTTCTTTTGATCAATTTGAGATAAAAACTTCTTAGGTTTAGAAGCCTTTTGCTTCTTTTCCTTATAACAGCATAGTGCATGTAAACAGGACAACAGTCAAATCTGCCCCAGAAAAGACAGAAAGTTATTTAAAAGGTGAAGATCATTTATTGGCTGTGAAACATCTCAAGGAGACAGCCAACATTCTTGTCTGATTGTAAAGAGGTTATTTCTGTGAGTGGTTGGTCTTCCTATAAACATAGAAAGCAAATTTTTTTTATTGCTCATTATTAATTTAAACTGTTATTTGTTAGAATAGTCATTTAAGCTGGACCTATTTTTGAGTGTTTGTTTTCCCATAAATATACAGTATTTCATCACTGCAAAAAAAAGTCCAGTTTTTCCCTTTATATACCCATTTTTTTCAGACACAGAACTATTTTTTGTATGTTTTTTTTTTAAATGAATGTTGATTTCTTAATGTAAGTAGGTATTTTGAGGCTGAAATTTATTCTGTGTTACATTTCTTTTTGCTAAATAGTATTAATTGATGTTCACTATTGTTTCATCATTTTTCTAGAGTGGAGATACAGTGTTGATTGGTGCTGTCAGAGGAGGTCATGTTGAAATTGTGAGGGCCCTGCTCAATAAATATGCTGATATAGATATCAGAGGTCAGGTAAGTACAACAGCGTAAATGTTAGAATCGTTCTAAAATAGGTTGTGAATTTGAATAGCAAACAAGTCTAGTGTGTTTCTGAAAACAGATCTTTAAAACTTGCTCCGTCTATTCTGTAGGAGACTCAAATTCCATCAAACAGTAACAATACATCATGTTGCTGTGCAGTTTTTGGGATACAAAACTTACGTAATTATAATGCCTTATCAGGAGCCATTTTTTTCAGTTAATTTGTATCATGGCTGATGTATACATGGCTGATGTAAATTGAATGTTTTTCATCTGCACTACTGAGCAGGTTTAAAATAACATACTTTAAAACCCCTGAATGTCATTAATAATATTTTAAATTTTATATCAATGAAATATGATACACCTTAGATTATATCTGTCGTCAGTGCAGTTCTGTCACTGTGCTTGGCTGGTTCTTGTCTCCTTCACCAACTTTCTTTATTGTGTTAAACACTTGTCAGTGATTTCTGTGTTTTCTACCTCCCCCTTCTTCCCTTTTTGGCGTTCAATGAAGGTATTACTTTTATTCTCTACCGGAAGCTCTCTTGCTCAGCATGGTACTTGCTCTTGTTGTTGCATTCAACTTGCTTTCTTTTTCTTGAAGCTATTCAAATCACTCTGCTTGTAGGCACACATGTTCTGCCAAGTTTGAACACAAAACTAACTAGTTCCTGAGAGCTGCAAAGGTTCAGTGCCTGTTCTTGATGCAGAGTCTCTTTGAGAAGCCAAGAAGCTTTTAGTTTGAAGGAAGAGTAGTGTTTGGCTCTCCTCGTCTAACCTGCCGTTGGAAACCCATGTGTCTCAGCTTCTTGCTGACACAGGTCTGAAAATCTGAAACTTTTCAATGTCTTGATATCACCAAGGCAATACAGAAACAGCAAGAGGACCCAACCTCTTTGGGGGTGCAGAAGCTTGTTGCTTCTGGCAGCGTGAGGTTCCCTGAATAGCCATTTGCAGTGGTTGATCTAGAGAATACATTTGTGGCCTTATTGGCACAGTAGGATTCAGGACCACCCAAGGAAGGTTCTGGCTGTGCTTCAGATTTTCAGTTTAAGACCAGCAGTACCAAAATTGGTGACAAGCACTAGTGTTTAGCAACTGCCCTGCTGTGTGGTGTCTGCCTGTCAGCCAGACCTGTCTGGGGAGATGTGTTGACTGCCCAAATTTGTCATGTTCTGGGAAGATTGCTAAGGCTAGACCAGCCTTCCAGCAACTGTGTTGCTTGCTGATCATTCATGGTCAGTAGCTGGTGGATACCTTCAGCAGATAAAACATGACTATAAGGCTCTTGAGAGTGAGCGTTGGGGCAGTGAAGGACTCAGGTGGTAAGGGGAAGGGCCCAGCTGGGATCATCTAGCAGACCCCTCCCTGTCTGTGTAGCTGATGTTGCTAGTGAGAGGTCAGTTTCCTCAGGCTGCTATCTTGTTGGGACCCAGCTGACTGAAGGACAGAGAACACGAAACCCAAGTGATCAAGAGAGGAGAGAAAACTTAGTGCCCAGGTTTGTCTGTTGAGAGAGGCTTTAAACTCAGTTTGCTGTGAAGCCAGGAGGAGCTGCAAATTGAAGAAGGCTGCAAATTGCACTTTAAGATCCCTGCTTAGAAGCAGATGTGTGTTCAGAGGCTTCTCTTAAACATCTCTACACAAATGTGCATCAAACAGGAAGAGTCATGGTGCAGCCACTAGGCCACAAAAAGATTGCAGATATGGAGACTGTCTGGGATAGCACACATCACTGAGGAGAAAAAAAGGATGACACAAGAGACTTGCAGCTATGAACCATTCCCTCTGCTTTAGCAATACAGTGTTTGGCTGATCAACATTCTGGTACTTTGTGTTGACTTTCATGTCCATCTGCTTTTACAGCTTTCCAGCTCACATGGCTGATGAAAAAAAAGTTGGTTTATTTCGTGAGAACTTCTATATTTGAGTTACAACTGAATACCTAAATATAGTGTTGGAAACTGTTTCAAGACAGGTTGACTCTGCTTGGATTGTTGAAGCTATAAATACACTTAGCAAAGGTTTTTAAAATAGATTTGTATTCTCTAGCCAGATTTTCATCCTCCCCCCCTAAAAATTCTACTGATTTGCCAGTTGGATTTGGTGGCCTTTCCTTTAGCCATGAGCTGTGCTAAAATTTGCTGTATTATATGCCATTTTCAGTATATAGTGGTTGTAGTTTATGCAGAGTTTTTGAAATTAATCCAACTGAATGAAAATACTGGTAACATTTAATACTCTTTTTTTTTTTTTCTTCAGGATAATAAAACTGCTTTATACTGGGCAGTTGAGAAAGGAAATGCTACAATGGTGAGGGATATCTTGCAATGCAACCCTGATACTGAAACATGTACCAAGGTAACAATTAGAATTTTAATTGAATTGCTTTGTTTAACATCTGCTCTTTTCTTAACTCCTATGTCATGTCAAGATCATACCAAATTCAGTTTTGGTGAAGTGTTGCTACCTTAATTTGTTACCCAATCACTAGTTTTTTTTCTTGGTTTTGAGTATACAGATATCTTTATTAGGCCTACTTTTCCATTTCAGGACGGAGAAACACCACTTATAAAGGCAACCAAGATGAGAAATATTGAAATAGTAGAGCTTCTTCTGGATAAAGGAGCTAAGGTCTCTGCTGTAGACAAGGTAAAGAATATTTGTTTGTTTACTTTAGTATATTTAATAAATTCAGTTTTGCAGCAGGATTTTGTAGAGAGCTGTCAAGGCTAATACAGAAAGAGAGCTTCTCATATGCTTCATAATTAAATAGACTATAGTACTTAAATGCTTAGTCTCGCATATGTTTAATAAAATAGATCAGGATACTTAAATGTGAATTTGTTCCCAGTGTTAACATACTGGGTTTTCTTGTTTGGTTGGGTTTTTGTGTACTTGGGTGCTCATAGTCACATGAAAAGAAAAAATTCCAGGTCAGGAATGAAAATTTCACAGAATAGATGACTAATTCTTCATACACTTGAAAAAGAGCACAGATAATGATTGACTGTTATTTGTCACTAATGTTTGGTTTTGATTAATAGACATTAAACTAGGCAATGCCAAGTACAAATATAACTGCCTGTTGCTGTCTTCTTATTCATTACCTACTTTGACTGTAAACCTTTTAAATACAGGAACATTTATTTGATACTTTTTTAGTCTCTTAGTGCTATGGGCAAATAGGTAATAATGTTGATTTGATGTAACAAGAAAGCTTTTACTGGAGAGTTTTCTTGAGAAGTGTGAGCATACATAGAAACAGTTCTGACAAGCATTATCTCTTGTCCCAAACCATTCTCTGAATTGAGAGACTACAGTTTTCATGAACCTGGAGATGTTTTTCACTTAATTGCAGAAAGGAGATACTCCACTTCATATTGCCATTCGTGGAAGAAGCCGTAAACTTGCTGAGCTACTCTTAAGGAATCCGAAAGATGGTCGGTTGCTTTATAGACCCAACAAAACAGGAGAAACACCTTACAATATTGACTGCAGCCACCAGAAGAGTATTTTAACACAGATATTTGGTGCCAGTAAGTATAAATGTTTATTTTTGAAATCATTCATGTATTGAGAATCCAGTTTATTCCATTCTGTATTGAAAAGTGGTAATAGGTGTTTTAATGTTGCAGCTAATGAGAGCTTGAAAAATAGTCAGTTGGCAAAAAAACCCCCTCATTTTAAAAGC